CCATTTATTTTCTCCTCATCACTTTCCTTGTCTGTTATAAATTGTGACAGTGCTTTTGCTTGAGTATGTGCACGGCATAAACTCCATAAGCCAATTTAGTATGCCAGGTTAATATGATCATGCCTGATTGCTCTTTAAATTACTATCTAAAGACCATTAGAGCCCAACAAGATTTCACTTTGATGTCAGCAGACAGAGGTGAGTATATGTTCGATGTACTGAACAAGCTCATTCTTATGCATAGCATATCTTTCATATTAAAATCATACAGAATGAGTAACTCTGATGTCCTGCATCATGGGAGTCAATTAATACATTACTAGCAGCATTCCCTGAAACAATTTTCATCTCCTTGATGATGGCACTGTGCAAATGTCTAATGGAAATAATACACAGCTATCTCTAATATTGTTACTTCTGTTTTGGGAATGGAATCTGATAAATTACAAAAAATCATTTTGACAACTTGAAATGAAATATTATTGTTATCATATTACTAGAAATCTAGTGGAAATACAATTTTAAATGGTGAGTTTAATCTGGGTACAATTATGAATAGATTTAAGTGGTTTTTCCCCTTCAAAGGGCAGGAGTTTCCAAATTCACTGCATGTATTTCTTTTCCTTAAATTTTAGTTTTTCTTTCAAGTTAACTCAGTGCTTATGAATAATGCCAAAATGACAGCCACTGCTCTGTAAAATTGTTTGTCTGAACAGATTCAAATAAAGCAGTGCATAATTTCCTTTACAGACTGCCCTGTCATGCAGACACTCACCCAAGAGGGAAAATAACTGTAAAAAGAGAACATGTATTCAGAAGTACATGTTGATTTAAGCCTAATAGAAGGTGGTCAACATTAATTCTATCATATTAAAAATTATCCACTAAAAAGTGCATAAATAAATTCTATGCTCATATTTCAGATGCAGAAGATAAATGATAACCTTTTTAAAAAGCATGCTGTTCTAGTCATAGATGTAGAGCTCTGCTTCCTCCAAATCAGCACTCTTTCTGCCTTGATATATGGGGAAACCTTGGAAGATGATGAGGCTTGCTCAGGACAGAGTCAGATGAAAAATACCATATTGTTACATTACCCTGCACTGCCACAGAACAGTCGTGAGTATTAAATTTTTCAGCATCCTTTTCTTAACAAACAAGATCTGTAGTTGTTTGGGTGTGAGTGTGCATTAATTTGACAAAGGTTTAAACAACAAACTATTAAAACATAGGTTATTAATTGCTAGAAAAATATCCGGTAAGCTGAGGTTCTGGGATTTTTATTGGGTTTTTTTCTTGTTTGGTTGGTTGGTGGGGTTTGGGTTTTTTGGGTTTTTTTTTGTTTGTTCGTTTTTTGGGTTTGTTTTTTTTTTTTTTTTTTATTTATCTATTTTTGGTACAGTGGAAAATAGAAGAGAAATGTCCACTACACTGAAGAGGACTTTGCAAACTTTTCCTATGCACCCAGTACAGTCTGCATCCAGTACAAGGCACCATATGCCTGTCTCTGCAAACTTGAGGACAGACGGCAAAAAAAATCTCACTGAAAGCAAATGTGCCGGTGTGTAACACAAGAAAGATAAGATGCATTTACACACTAGGAATGCAAAGACATATAAAGGGAAAATGCCTCATGTAGCACAACCAAAACCTTTGGTAGTATTGTCTTGACCATGTTGTTCTCTTGAACTTTCAGTTTATTTTGCTGCCTCTGCATGTCACTGTTAAACAGAGCAGTAAAGAAAGATTATGGACATATTTGTAGTGCTGGTGGGGCCAAACCCCCTTCAGCTATCCTTGCATAAGGGCAATAAAAACTGCTGCCTTGTTTGTGGGTGTAAACTGTGCTGGAACTTGTTTATGCTCAAGGACTTGATCCTCTGGCGATTTCTGTCACCATTCACTGATACCTGTGCTTTTGCACAAAAAAAAAATCATGAACTTTTTGTCTTCATCTGCCCATGCTGGTTTTGCCTGGTTTCTGGAGTTTCCAAGTACCAGGAAAACAAGTAAAGCACTGCAGAGTAAATGAGCAAGCCTTATTTTTCTCCCAGCACCCTGTCCGTTTTCATGAGTTGCATAATAATATCATACATTAATTTAACCTTTTAGACTGGATCTGCTTAATGAACGTTGAGCAAAGAGGGTTATCTTCAGTTATCAATCTGATGACTTTTTATTCTTCTTCCCGATTACACGAGCAGATTCCCAAACTTTAATAAACAAGTTAAATGCTTTTAATGTGTAAGCTTCAACCACTATTTCGAAATCACTACCTGTAAGCTAAACTAATCCCCATCAGTTTGTAAACAGTATTTTGATTTGCAACCTGACATTCCTCAAGATAGTTGCCTAAAAACAGACATGGAAGGAATTATATGCTCTGGCTGATAATTCAATACATTATTTCTATAAATCTGTGTTCTCTTACAAAATGGATGCAAAATTACCTAGTCACCCTCAACTGTTTAGTGAAACTGTCAGCTGATTTAATAGATACATTAAAATCCTATTTATAAATTACTGGACATTATTAGTGCAGTAGTTCTATAACAAGTAATATAAATGTCGATGCACAGGTGTCCTGATAGCATGGCTAGAAGATAAAACCCTTGTAATTTCAGGTCACATGAAACATCCTACACTTTATAATATACTTATTACTACTTTAAAATATATAACAGAAACATTATAAAAATAATTAAATTGAAAATAAATGCTATTGGAATAAACATGTAATTTTGTTGAGTCATTTGATTCTGCAGATTTAGTTCTGTAATCAATCCAGAACTCAACTGCATTTAACATCTTAAAAATTTTATGTGATTTTAAAAAATTGCATGTGATCTCAAGATACTGATTAGTGACTGTTGGATATATTTTAGTATACTGACAATGGTTTGAATTTATATGAAGTTTGGCTTTTGCTATCTAAAAGGACAATTTCTTGAAGGAACTTCTCTCTTTCAGTGTTATACCTGTATTGAGAGCCTTGAGGAAAATAAGGGGAAAACACCAACATCTCCACCTTGGTTTTGTTTATCTGTTTGTGTTCTGGTTTTTTTGTAGTAGATTTGGCAATTATGACATAGAAAGACTGGCAGAGTTTATTGGGTTTTTTCAGATAAAGGAAATAAGTTAATATAGATAAAACAAGTTGTGATAAACATCAAAATAAACATTGTTGAGGAAAGTTATTACCTAGATTTGATTGCTCTCCTCTAGAAGCAGATGTTTGACATAAAAAAAGGGGTTTGACATTTTGGCTTTCCTCCTACTTGAAAAGTGTTGCACAATTTGTAACAGTTCCAAAAAGCCTGAAGAGGTAAAAATATTCCAGATCAATCTGTAATCAGTGTTAGTCTTAATGAAAATATTCCATTTGTTCTATAGTTGCCTAAAAACTTAATGTCAGTGGAGAAAAACAAGAAAGACAAAGGAAGAAGCTAATTGATCAGTACATTGATAATAGTCAATTTTGTGCAAAATTTACATTTTTTTGGTAGTTTAGAAGTGACTCTAAATGACTACCAAGAAAAACTTACACAAAGGAATAAAGACTAATGAAAATAGAGTGATGCATCAGTAAAATTTGTTTTTTGACATTAAAGGCACAGCAGTCACATTGATTGTGCTACAGCACCAAATGTGATGAGAGTCCTTGCTGGCATCTTCAGCGAGGTGCCAGAACAAAGGTATGTCTCAGAGAAAGTGCAACTTGTGCCCACTGGATATCACAAATATGATTTTTTTCCATTATGTGGTCCCCTTTCTTCAGACTTACTCACTGTATTAACTTTGTGATACAAACACACTGCTTTGCAAATTGCTTTGACCAATACACTTTAGGGCTTAACACAAATGTCTTCATGTGCAATATCCAAGTACATTTTTGGCTGCTGTGCTAAAAAATATTTTGTTTTATTTATACATCCTCAGAATATTTTTCTGGAAGAGTAGGAGGAAAAATTAATTTTCTGTTGATTTATTTATATTTAGGGAAAAAAAAAGATTTTCCACTTGTATACTGAAAAAAAAAAGTTCACAATAGTATTACAGTAAAAACTGAAACATGATGACTCATTTTTACAGTAGGTGAATTTGAAACCTTGCTGTCTAGGGAAGTGGCATTTGGGGACCGAGGAAAGAAATTCCTGACTTGTTATTTTCACTGAGTAAAGTCCTTTACTTAAACTGAAAATTATACACAGCATCCAATTATACACTCTGCTAAGATTTTCTTCAGGTGTCCTTTTCAGCTTTCCTATCTGAAAATTCTAAATTCACTACCCCCACAATCCTCAAACACTTTTCTGTCAATTACTTATGCCCTCTTACAGAAACAGTGGACATATAATGAGAGAGGGAATTGCAAAAATTCTCTGCAGGTATGACTGTGCATGTCTACACACCGTATAAAAGCTGTAGTGCAGGACTTGCAATTATGAAGCAATAAAACATATTAGAAATACTTGAAAACAATCTGAACAATCAAAAATAAAAGTAAATGGTTCTGAGACATAAGAAAACAGATCAAAAAGGATGCATCTTCATTAGCTGAAAATGGACTTGGAATAATCATATCAATCACAGGAATAATTGCTCATAATGGGCATGAGATTTAAAATTTATATCTTATCTCTTGATATCAGTACAATGTTGCTAAAACTCAAATATGCAATCACAGTCATTTCAATTAAAATTAGTGGTAAAATACAGATTTATATCAGAACTCTCTTATTTTGTTTTTGGGTTTTGTTTTTTTTTTGTATTATTGTTGTTTCTGTTGTATTTGTTTAATATGAAAAGCAAGAATAGGGAAATAAACATACAAAGACAGAAAGTATATCGTGGCTACAAGACAGGCTGGATGGTAAAAGCAATGAGTAGAGGGAGCTACTGCTGGTAGATTTGTCCCACCAGAAACAGGTACACATTTATAATACATTATATTACTTCTCTGTATCATTTGAACTTTCAAAGAAATAGTAAAAAATTACCTTTCCCACATACTGAGGTTCAGAGCCCATGTACTCCTCCAGAACAAAAAATTGGTTCCACACCCAGCCTCGCTTGACTCGCTGGGCAGATGATCTCCTCTCTGGCACTGGGACAACATTTTCTCTTGGCTGTGCTTCCAAAATCTCTTGTGCTTGTGGGTGCAGTGGTGTTAGGAGACCTCCATCGAACAGGACCCAGAGAAGGAGGGATAAGCAGTTCCTTGTGAGCATTGGCAATGGCTTCCCTACCGCAAGTAATAAAAACTCCAGCACTTAATGCCGAGCACAGGAATCCAGGTTTGAGGTGTCTGTGGCCTTCACCACTTAGCTTCTGATTTTATTGCAGAAATGCTAATGCAGGCATTAATCCTCCTGATGACAAGGTATTTGCCGCAATAAATTCCATCTATAGGGACCTATAAAAGAGATTTACATGCAACATCAAATTACATAGGATTACACTGAAGCATTCATCAAAATTCTCACACCTAGTTAGTTTCTAGAGACAGAAAAATACTAAGAATCACAGTTTAAAAGAGATTGCTATTTTCATTGTAGCACTGAGCTGCTCTAGAACATTGTTTAGTTATTACTTCATTCTTCCTCTGCTTAGCATTACCTTTGTGTCTGTCTGAGACAGGGCTGTATCATTTGTTTTAGGATCAGTTATGAACCAGTTTCCCATCAATGGTATCAAAAATATTTACTTATTTTTTTTAGCTTTACTCAAATTTTACTCAAAAATATTTTATCCAAAAAAGATTTACAAACAAAATACTGGAGAACAGGGGATCCACTCTTTCACCCTACTGTCCAGAGCAAGAACTTTTTTATCACTTTCTCTGCCACAAAAGCCTCTTCAAGTCTTCTCTACAGTGTTCTGGTTGCCAGGTATAAAAAAAAAATAACTGCCGGTAGGACTTAAGATAGATGCATTTTACATTTTAAAAACAAAATACAATTTATAGCACTATGGACTTCACCACTTTGTTAGAGTCATATTGTGTCATTGATTTTTAAGCATAGGTTTCTAGGAAATCAATAGAGTTCTGCTTAAAAAGCAATGACATTATATGAACCTCAAAAAAGAAGAATAATAAATTACTTAACCATATATATTTTTCCTTTTCACATACTGCCAAAGGTTGTATTTCCCTTATGAATAATATTATTACTATCCATAACAATAAATAGCATAGAAATTCTTATTTGTTGGGTACATGCTGAAGTATTTAAATAGAAAGGATTTATAATCAGGAACCTGGAAGTCTTAAAGAAGAAAAAAACAAAAACACCCTAGAAGAATAACTGCACTTCCTATGCTAAATTTAGGGTGAAATTTTCTGTTCTGATTGGTGAAATTTTCTGTTCTGATTTGAAAGGCTATGTCTGAAGTCTTAGTAAAAAACCTGGTGAAAGGTATCTGCTGAGTGTTTTAATTCTAACTTCAGAAAGGATAAAATATGAGGAAAGAACTCCTGTCTGCTCAGAATCCTTTAAATAAAAGTTTTTCTAAGTTATGTTCATGACATTTCAATGTTTTTCATCTACAGTAAAATAATCTTTTGTGCAATGAGTACAAACTTCTTACTTGCACAATCATTTGCAATCTGTGAATTTTATTCCAGCAAAGGAATCTTAAGACATGAGCCAACCACAACAGAGATCTGCATTCAATATATTTGGTATGAATTTATTTTTTACTGAACAGTTCAGATGTGGTTTTCTGCTTTCAATGTATTCAGTGGTATATAACATTCAGACTGTGTTCATCCATAATTCTGTTCCAAGATTTCCATACTTTTTTGCCTCTCCTGATCCATGGTTGCAGAGTGCATGTCTTGTTTTTATGGCAAAATCATAGTAATCATGAAACAAAGTAAAAATTAAAACAAATCAACTCAACATATCCTTTTGAATTGCCCAGATATAGATGGGAGGTGGAAAAAAAAGCTTAAAAAAAAAGGGGGTGGGATAGTCTGCACTGCTTCAGAAATGCCAAAATCTTGTTGTAGTCAATTTAATTGCCATGCCACTTCTCTTTGCTCAGAAGACTCTGTACATTGCAGTTCTCCCAGCAGAGCTCTGCCTCCGGCCATGTCTGTCAGTCAGGGAGCTTTTAAAATGTTATACAGCACCAAAAGTAATGCAAAGAGATTGAAAGGCTTCAATGAAAGGAGAGCAATTCCCCCTCGGCTGGAAGGTTAGTAACCAAGTGCAAGACACAGAGCACTTTAACCTCTTCTCCATTGGTATCCCAGACAGCCTCCCAGAATGCCTACTGCAGAGTCAGGAAAGAGCAATGCCAGTGCTTGCTTCATTTCCTACAGCTTCAAAAAGATGATGAATGGGAGGGTCAGATAAAAAATGGGAGGCTAATGGATGTTGCAGTACAGGATTGTAGCACAGATGCCCTCATCAGCTGCGAAAGAGTTCAACGTGAAGAATTTCTTTCAATTTTTCTTTTTTTTATCTTTTATTTTTTCTTCTATTTTTTAATTTTAACCTCAGCAAGGCAAATAATTGAAACTCTCATACTTTGGCACTTGAAAGAATCACTCCAGCTTGCTGTTCTGTGACAATTGTGCCGTAGGAAACTGAGGCCGAAGGTTCTCCCCCAGTAGCTTCTTCTTCCCCATAATTCATTGCTGGCTTTGCAGGAGGCTTTGTCTGATAGAATATACTTTATAGCACCATTGGAACTTGTACAGGAATTCAAAGGCTAATATATATATGTCTTATTCCTTAAGTCTGTTCTTATTGTTTTGCATTTTCTTTTTAAGCTATGTCAAAACCTGTCTTAGTGCTTTTATACTGTCAAATACTCATTGGTGCCTTATGTACCTTTGATCAGAAAACTCCTAAGACAAGTAGGAGAAAAGGATTTAGAAATCCACTGAGAACAATTAACCATAAGGAAGGCACTATATTTCCTAAATATTTAGGGTATTATTTCCAGTGATGCTCATAAAGAAATACTTATCCAATGAGATAGTTGTGAACAGACATGCACCCTCATTGCATCTCTTTCCTATATATTACAGAAGTACAGAGTGTCAGATTTTTCTTAGATCTTGGGGTTTTTTCAATATTAGCTATTGCTACTCATTTCTTTCAACTAGCTTGTAAAGATTTAAGTACCATTATGCATGATCTAATTAACCCATAGAGATACAAAGGGATACCCTGTATGAATTTAGCCCCACATATGCTTTTATAACCTGTGATTATGTTTATTCATTATGTTTATTCATATTCAGTTTGATAAAGGGAAGTAAATGATCCAAAAGTAAGCATGGACAGTCTGTTAATACACAATTATTAAGAAATCTCGATCATATTTACTGTGTCCCCCAAATTGCAGGCTTAGGAACTCATGAAATGCAAATGATGAATAAAATATCCCTACTAAAATTATTTATTGGGAATAACAAAATACAGTATAAATGGTGCTCCTGCAAGAATTTTGATTCTGACCTGGGCTATACTGCCATTAATCTAAACAGCCTGAGCAAAGAAATGCTTTTGGAATACAAAACTGATGCATGCCATTGCTGCTGCAACAACCCTTTATCACTGGTACAGCAGACACAAATCACCTCACCACGCTTGGCAAAGGTTATCCCTTGTAGAGAGAACAGTCATAGATCCTCTGCAATCACTCGTATGCACATAAGGCCTCATGTAGAAAAGTATTTGAAAAGAAACTTTAAATGATCTTTGATCTTGTCATGGTTTAGTGCCAGCCCCACCCAGCTGCTCACTCACTCATGCCCAGTGAAGAAGAGAATCAAAAAGATAAAAGTGAGGATACTCATGAACTAAAGACAGTGTGATAGATAAAGCAAAAGCTGCAAATTCAAGGAAAGGAAATGAGTTCATTTTCTCCCTTCCCATTGGCAGGCAGATTTTCCGTCATCCTCAGAAAAGCAGAGCTCCAAAATACATAGTGGTGTCTTGGGAAGGAAAATGCCATCACTTCAAGCATTCCAACTTTTCTTCTTCCTCTTCTTCTCCCCTGCCGCCCAGCACTATATGCTGTCCGTGATGCCATATGGTCTGGAATATTCCTTTGAGTCAGCTTGGATCAGCTGTCCTGGCTGTCTCCCCTCCCAGCTTCTTGTGGACACACAGCCTCTTCGCTGGTAAACTGGGATGAGCTGCAGAAAAGGCTCTGACTACGTAAGCAGTGCTCAACAATAGCTAAAACATCCCCATGCTATCTACACTGTTTTCAGGGAAATTCACAGCACAGCCTTATGCTTGGCTATTATGAAGAAAATTAATTCTATCCCAGCCAAAACCAGTGCAGACCTGCATGAAGTATCTACTTGCATCAGTCCACAGATGCATTGCTGTCACACACAGACAAGCAGGAAACACTAAAGCTCCATGATGCACTCAAAATTGTCATCAGTCCAGCAAGGCTGGTAATTGAACCTCCATGAATGGAGGCAAATTGCCTACTGACAAAATATCCATTATGCACTGATGGTGGGAACATTTCTGCAGCCACCTTTACCATAAATCTATCAACATAGAGAATGCTTTAGCTCATGTGAAATAAGAGCTAATGTAGAGCAACCCTCTTCCTATGCAGAAAGAGGTTTGAAAAAGCTTGGTGATGCTGTAAAAGGGTTGATCATGCCAGCAGGAAAGTCAGATAACATCTGCAACTATGGATATGCTGTAACAGCTGACCATGTAATCTTGTTTCTCTGCAATACCTTGCAATAAGAAAATAAAGCAGCAGGAAAAACAAGTCCATGATTTTTGTATCTATTACAATTAACTGCTTAAGTATTTGTGATGACATATCTTCTGGTTAAAGAACATGTAAAAGGATATAATAAATCTTTGAGTTTAGACAAATCAGTTGGGTGGATATCCTCAAAGTTATTTAATTAAACAAATTCCATTAGATTAGACTCTAAATTACCATATTTCTTTGTGAGTTTGATTTTCCTGAGCTTCACAACCTATCTAGATACTTTGTAAATAAAGTAATTCTTCCCTTTTTGCCCTGGTCTTTTTAGTTAGTGTGGGAACAACTTGGTAATAGCAAAAGAGACGTTAGGAGAGAGATTACAAGTAAACAGATTACAAGCCACAAACTAGAAAAGACTTTAATTCTCAATCTGCACATCCCACAAGTCAGAAAATTTTTAACAGATTAAGCAGGTCCCACCTCTGCAGCTACTATAACAACTTGGCAAGAATAACATCTGGAATCCATGCCAGGTAACTGTCATGGGGAAAAAATAATATCAGTGTTTCTACCTGCTGGAGTCTTAACATCATCCAAACCACTTATTCCTTTACCTCCCTTTGTGTGAGATTCAATAAACTGTATAAACTGTCCTAGTTTAACATCTGTCAGCAGCCAAGCACCACACAGCTGCTCACTCACACCCTC